TCTTGTTTTTCGCCTCTAATTATGGAATTTTAAATTTCTATCAAAAATGTCAAAAAGTTGTGATTGGCTATTTTTTTCTTTGTTAACGTGCCGTTAAATTTTGTTGTGCAAGGTTTTGTCTTCGTTAGAATATTTTTTAGTTATGTTACACAAATTCAAGATTAAGTATTTCAGAAAAAAAAATATACAAGCGCAATATTTTCTCGCAAATAAATTCTTAGTATTCTGAAATGTTGAAATTTACTGAAATGATCAAATGTATTGAATTGAAGAAAAAAAAAATTTTTTTTTTCCTTGTAAAGCATTTTCCTTCGTGGAAATTCCATACAATTTATCTTCTTTTTCGCTCCTGATTATAAATTTAAAAATTTCTGGCTAAAATCTCAGAAAGTTGTGAATTGTTTTCTTTCATTTTTCTCTTATAACGTACTAATAAATCTCGTTTTGTCTTCATTAAAAGAATATTTTAGTTACGTAGCAGCAAAACACAAATTCATGATTCATAATATAATATTTCAGAAATAATACAATCGCAATATTTTATCGCAAATAAAGTCTGAAATGATGAAATGTACAGTAATGATCAAATGTGTTGAAATTATAAAATATATTGAATCGAAAAATATCGAATCTTTTCTTTATTCATAAAGTATGTTTCATTGAGATTTCACACAGTGTGTCTTGTTTTTCGTTTCTGATTATAAAAGTATAAGCTTCTGACAAATAAACGCAAATTGATTTTAAGAAAACTTTTTTCTTCTATGATTGATGTGCTAAATCTTTTTTTATGCGGTATAGTCTTCATAACAATATTTATAGTCGCGCATTTTATAATTTGCAACAGCAAAACACAATATCCAGATTCAGTATACAACAAAAATTTATTTTGATTATTAAAGTAATTTTTACCCTTTCCCTTGATAATACGGCTGACAGTTTCAGCTTAGAAATTATGTTGATTATTAAAATAATTTTTACCCCTTCTCTTGATAATGCGGCTGACAGCTTCAGCTTAGAAAAATCATACTAAATATTGCCATAGTGAGGGCTTTCTAAACATATTTAATTCTATATTACTTTTAAAAAATTCAAAGGCTTTTATGAAATGAGGAATCTGTTTAGATAAATACACCAAGAAACATACAATTTTCGTATCTGTGATCACTAATTTTGGCTGTATTTAGCGTACTGGTTTCAAATATGTAAATCATTTCTATTAGCTCACCAGTGTGTAAGTTCGACTTTAAATATCGAATGTATGTAAAACGTGAAATATTCAATGTCCAAAACACAAAAAAAAAATTTCTTCTTGTTTGGAATTTAGAAGCTGATTTCAAAAATATTTGGTTTGTTCATTTCCATTATGATCATCTTCGTATTAGAAATCAGCATTCCTAAACATAATAAATTATTTTAAAATGCTAGGCAGCGTAAAAATTATTATATATTGCATATTTTGCAATTTATCCATTATACTGAATCTCCAAAAATAAAATTGAGTGAGAAAACCGTTCAGCATTTTTGAAATCAACCCATTGAGTGTAGCCAAAATCAGTGTCAAGATTTATACCGACAACAATTTCTTCTTCAACAAAGTGAAACAAAAATTGTACATTTAATCATTATGCAAATAATAGGACTCACATCATTAAGTGTTGGCATTCTGAAACGCAGACAAAATTGTCTAAGTTCATGACCTTAGTCTCAAAACTATAGAGCCTTTACCAGCATCCTAGCCAACCACTAGCTATTGTGAGATTACGATTAGTTATGTTTTATAGAATATTGTACTTCTTAAAGTATTGTGCATAAAAATGACTCGTAACCCTTTTTAAAAAATGTTTTTCTTTTTTTTTTAAAGATTTTAAAGGTAATCGACATTGAAGCTTCAGGCAGAAATTTTATGCATCGACAAAAAGTAAGTTAAGCCTAGTTTCTCAAAAGCCACTGCTAAGGTAATGCGTGTATAAGCCGAAACTAATTACAACCAATAGCCAATACTTCTCTTCCTTAAGCAAAAAATCATATCCAAATTTTACTGATTATTGACATACTTAACAGTTTAAAGTATATCCAAATTCATTCGCGAACGCTCAGAACTAAATTACTAGCATAGGTGTTGTGTCACATGATTGAATTCCAAAAAAGTATAAGATGACAGCAAAACAGAAAATACCACAGCAAACACTAGGTGGTTCTTAGAAATTTCAATAGTTTGAGCCCCACTATAATAAGATAGTTATATCGATATTTAAAATATCCATAAAAGAAAACCCGTTCTACAATTTTATTGTTACTAATACTGCATAATCATCTAAACATCATTGATTTTTATATAGATTTATTAAAAGCAATAAATGAACTACTATAAGATACACAAGGTGTTAAGAAGAAGAAAAAAATTCTAATAAAAATTATGAAAGTAGAAAAAAAAAATTAATGACATCACAGTTTGGCGTTATAACACGCAAAGTGTGTAGACCGCAATTAAAAGTTCACATCCAAGTCATAAAAAAGCAATTTAACCAATAAGTACATCTTTAAGAAGCATTATACCTTTTGAGAAGCAAAAGCATCTCGTTAAAAAGTTGAAAAAGTACCAAAAAACAGCGAGACCCTAACGAGAAGTGCGGAAGAAAGGGGAATTAATATATTTATTTTCACTTCTGAAGGTTATGATCGGAAGTGAATGGAAGAAGAAAAAACAAACCAAGGCAAAACTAGATTCCAAAGAATCTTGAATGGTATAATAGCCCGAAGCTAATGAGGATGTGTAATATGTTTTGAAGTTTGGAAAAAAGAAGCAAAGATGTGAGAGGACCAGTCAAACGAGGTCCCTGGGGGATGTTTTGCAGAGTTGTCATTCACCTTTACTTAATCTTCATAAAAAATTGTCTTCAAGGACCTTTACAATCTGCTACAAATCATGCTTTTTCATTGAGAAGTAATCATTACTCTCTCTCATATCGATATTTGTATTATGTTCATGAATTACTGATATCGATAGCATAGATTGGAAAATGTGAACGTTTTTTTTCTTTCTTCAATAGCTATGCATCATATTTACCTAAGATGTTTTACATGTTTAGAGGTAATTTTTCAAACGATATTTAGCCGTGAGAATCAATAATCTCATTTCTTGACCTAAACATCATGCTTTCGAAGACAATGTGAAATACTGCGGGATATTAGTATCTTGGAAAATTCCTTCACAAGGAAAATGCTGGTTACTTTTCCTAGAGTTTTCTCTTAAAAAAAATTTTCAGTGGAAAAAAGCACAAATTTAAAAAATATTTTTTTGAAACCATATGTAGAAGAACAGAGATATTGGTCATCAGTGATAAAAATTTACTTGCTTAAATACTTCACCGACAAAGTTGCATTAAAATAAAGCAATTGAAATTTGCCGGTAAAAGTACCAGATTAAACTTATAGGTATCAACTTCATCAATTTTCACCAAACATAGTAATAAAACCTCCCAATCAATTGCAAATCGAAACTTCACAAAAAAAGAAGTCTCTATATTTTATAATTACAAGGATTTATAATGTTTAGATAAATCATTATACATGAAAGGAAAGTTCGAACTAGTTTTTTTTTCCTAATCATGAAAGTCTTGCAAAGAATTTTGTCCAACAATCAATTGAAAGTCCTAAAATTTGCTATGAGAGATCTAACAGAGACGGAAAAAAAACGTTGCAATAAAAGTCATTTTAATGTAGTTTTCTTGCACTAAAATTTGAGGATTTGCCGTGACCATTTAGCCACACAAAGGAAAAAAGGAAAGTAAGTAACTATTCGTATAATGATTTCGTTTTTATAGTAATGGGGAAAAAAGTTCAACAAAATCCTTCGTTTAAAAATTACAGTAGAGTCCCGATAATCCGAGTTTCCTCTTTAACCGAGCTATCAAATATTTTATGGATTTTTTTGTTCTAGTTTATTTTTAAAAATACCGCCGAAAAATAAATCTGAATTGTATCTTCCAAACACTCGGGAAAACAAAATCTAACAACTCTATCCCATGAAATGATCGTTAATATCGTCAATAATGAAAATGAACCTAGCGAAGATGATGAAGACAGTGACGATGAAAATCAACATATAAAAATCTCTCACACAGATGAACTTAAAGCTGTCGAAAATGCTACTGAATACATAGAACAACAAAAAGAGGCGACACCAGCCTTCCTGTTATCCCTAAAAAATGGCGAAACATTGCTGCAGAAAAGCACCAAAGTTATGTAAAACAAAAAACGATTAAGGACTTTTTTTAAGTAAAAACTCTTTAATTCTCGCAAAGTATACTTTTTAAGTTTTTTCAAGTAAGCTTTTTAATAATAATAGGAATTATATGTGGTATACTCGTATAAATTTTATATTTCTTAAATATATTACATTTATACCAACTCTTTTTTTTTTATACTCTTCGTTTTAACCGAGTTTTTCAGTTATCCGAGTTAGTCGTGGTCCACATTAACTCGGATAATCAGGACTCTACTGTAGTTGCAATCAGAGATTCATCAAGAGCAAGTGAGGACCACTCTTGTTAGTGGTGTCTTTTTCAAAACACCTTCGCCTGCATTAAAGAGGTTTTCTGGTCTAGAAATTTCAATAAATATATTTTTTATTACATTTTTGATACTTTATACTATGGAGTATATATGGACTAAACTGTTTTGCCCGGTAAACGTAGTTGAAAATCATGATGATCGGACCTGCCTCACGGCCTATATACCAGGACCTGTCAAATGGCAATTTACTTGAAATGTGTGTTGGCGCGAACAGTCTGAACAATAAATTGCTAAATTCGCTGATTGCTGATATAATTTTAGAATCTTTCCATCTAATTTCGTCAGAAAAGAAGTATGGAATATACAAGCAATCATTAATTAAAGTTTAACTATAGATATTATTTGGTTTTTGTTTTTAATTCCACATAAAATAATTTAAATGTTTATTTTTAGTAAGTAACAGTGCGTGAAATAGTTTTCCTTACCTCCTGATAATCCTCCATTTTGAAGCTTGCTTTCCTATCAACTAAAAATAAATTACGCGCAATCCTAGAAAGTGCATTTTATTTTACATCACAATATGCACACTTAAGCCTGGACTAGCCATGTTATAGGAATACCAAGAAATATCCATGGTAAAGCAGTTTTACGAAACACCTAAAAAAGAAATGAAGCACAATTAGAATCATTCTCCTCATTAATAATAAAATTTATCAATTTCAGTCAAAATAAACATGCTAATTTATATTTTATGAAAATTCCACATTCTAAGCGGAAATTTCATGAAAATGCAGATTTAACAAATTTCCAACTGATTGGAAATAAAATTTTAGTTCAAATTTTCTTCTCCACTATTTACTTCTGGATTGAGATCAGTCGTAAGACCATGATACTACCACTTACTTACTTACTACCACTTACTACCATGGTACTTACCACGTGCTACCAACAGTTATTGGATCAGACCATGGTACTTACTATCGTGGTCTGGTAAAAATCATTATTAGAATTTATATATTAACACACCACTTACTTAAAGACGAATTTTCGATAATATATTGTATATCGTCATGTACCGAATTGCGTAGTGTTATGAAAACCGAAATTGACGACAGGCATTTTGCCCAATAACTGTTAAGTCATATAAACTTTGTGATGTTCAAAATATCTATGTATTAAATGTCATATTTTAATTATACCAGAAAATGTCTACATTCATTCAACATGCCTTAACAGAGAATACTGAAAATTTTCTTTCCATCAATCTTTCTAACTTACATCAAAAATGACGACATTCAAAACGCACTACCAGTGAATGAGGAGAAGAAAAAATATTCTTAAATATCAACAATTCTCGCCTGCAGTTGAAAATGCCGATATTTAGTTAGCACTAACAGTGAATGTTGAGAACAGTTTTCTTAAATATCAATAATTTTCAGTTACACCAGAAATATTTCGACATAAGACACACACTAGCAATGAATGTTGAGAAAAAATAATTTTCTTAAATATCAATATTTCTCATCTAAAACAAATGACGACATTTAAACTACAACTGCATAGTAAATAAAATAATGACTAAAATTTTTTTAAACAACATTCACAACAAATACCAGCTTAAAGTTGATATTACTGGTATAAGTAAAACATAATGATATTTAAAATCTATTTCTGACGTTGACCAAAACAATTATGTGATAGACTACATACACAAGATAATCTCTACATTCGAACTTCGACAGTAACTTTAGTATTAAGTTTTGTAAAGACAGAAAGATTTCACAAAAACAAAAAAAATTATCAAAATATTACATATAATATTTTGTTCTATTACAATTTAATTGAAATAGAACAAAAGACATGAATGCAATACAGGACTTAATCAAGAGACATCCTGTCCCAAATCATTTGGAAAAATGCATAAAATATAAAATCAAATTCAATATATCAAAAGTAATAAAATTTATGAACCAGAAATGAACAAAGCAAAACCTTAAAGAAGCCACGAAGTTATCTCAAAAAATTAAAATGTTAAATCTACTAAATAAAATGGAAAAGTGCCAACCAAATACGAAGGCTCTGACCACTATAATCTGGGAACATAGTAATTTAAAAACAATTTTATGCCGGCCAGGTGGCCGAGTGGTTAGCGTGTCTGACTGCGGAGCCAATGGCCGCGGGTTCGAATCCCACTCTGGGCATGGATGTTTCTCTCTCTGTGTTGTCTTCTGTTGTGTGAATGAGTGAATGTGGCCCACCCTATGAACGGGTTTGTGGCAGTATGGCGTGGGTAACGTTGCTCGCCTCCGTGACTTTGGTTCACAGGTGCCCACTGGGTAACGCTAAATGAGTAACAATTCCGGGATCTTCTATGGCGAAGAACGAAAAGTTCAGTGCCTGCCGTTATTAAAAAAAAAAAAAAGAAAAAAAAATTTTATAACAAAAATAATACATAAAACGTAAAAATATTCACTCGGATTCGAACAAAAGTTCAATACAGTACTTAGAGAACTTACAATAGAGAACTTAAAAACTCTACAAAGGCAATTTTTTTTAAAAAAAAAACACTATTTATGCTACAAATTAAAAAATTAGAAAGATAATTCATTTGAATCAGGGTCGTGGACCCCGTGGTGGTGATCTATATAGAAGACTGGGAGAAATCAGACTACTAAATCACAGTCGCGGTGGATCAAGGTATAGAGAGTTCACTTCCCGTTGAGACGAACCAGGCTCGAATCCCAGCTGCAGCTGGTTGATACGAATTCTGCCTCCAGCTCACATCGACCACAGTACTGATGTAAAATATCCCCAGTGGCAGACGGATCAAGGGTTAGAATCCCTTAGGCGTACGACTAACCGTGGGGGTTCGTGATTTTCCTCTCCATTTAACGCAAATTTTCATTAGTTTCATCAAGAAGTCCTTCGTGAAGGCTAGTTCATTCAAATAGCTTGATCCAGTAGTTCCCTTGTCTTCCAGGTCAAGTTCAAAGTTACAAGGCTATGGAGTTGAACATTGGTAGTCGTAATCAGGTCGGCTGTTCAACGCCGATTGTAAAATAAAATGAAAACTATTGAATCAAGAATCTAAGTTCAATTTTTGCCGTAGGCTCGAGTCCAAATAATAAATGCGCCTCCTGGTGAATAAGCATGATTTTTTTTTTTTTTTTTAATAAAAATACTCAGTATGAAAGAAATGACCAACAATGTTGGTTGGTTGGTGTCGTATTCTCTATTGAATCATATCTCATGGTGTGCTTGAATAGTCTTTGCTATCTCTATGGCATTAAATGAATATAAATCTTCTTCTGTAGGGTAGTTTAAGAGGTGAAGGCCTGCAGCGACTGCAGGGTAGTTAAAAACATGATATGGTGTGAGTTCCACATTAAGACAGTTGCCACAGTTTTCATATTTTCTAGTCCCATCTGCAGAGATTTTCATGCTTTAATGATGTTTTGTTCTTAGTCTGATGAGAGTGGTGGCTGTCTTCCTATCGATGTCAAGATTAGTTATTTGATAGTAGGCCTTGATTTTTAAAGGGATGAATAGTCTTTACTTTGCAAAAGCATTTGCATCTGCCAGCTTAGTTGGGATTGTATTTTGATTGAGATCTCTGGCATTTTTAGCCAAGGAATCAGCTATTTCATTGAACTTTAGGTTCACATTGGCGGCAATCCACTGCAAAAAGCATTTTTACCAACAATGTTAAAACTCGTATATAAATGTTTAGATTTTACAACAGCAAGTATGAAAAATCCGTCAGATCAAGGGAAATGTACCAAAATAATTCAATGTCATCTAACGCACTAATCTCGATGAATTTGTTTTGATTAATGATGTTCTTGTAGCCGCACCTATACCTGAAGCTGTCTACGATCATGCTACTATTATGAATAACCAGAGAAAATCAATTTTGTATTTTAGTAATTAATTTTTTTTATGCTGGCAACAAGTGATTGATTGTTAAAAAAGATAGGTATTTGCGACATGACTCACCTTGATCATTAAGAGTAAGTAAATTATTCGAAAAAGAAAAACAGTCAGTCATCCTTCAGCTATGGAGAATTTTAAATCATGATTTTAATGAATTTAAACGGTATCATAGAAATTATAATAATGCTATGAATAATATAAGATTAATTACAATTACTGATAAATTCATTAATTACATAGCTTGAAAAATGATAATGTATTAAGCATCAATGATGAATAAATATCAAATGCAATATTCAACCAGCGTCTGTACCGCAATTCATATCAATCTGAATATTCGGGAATTATCTAGGCAAAACTAAACCGGAGAGCTTAAATTCGAAGGCCTAATAAAGTTAAACTGTTCGACCTATAGAAACTGTTAGATTTAATCAAGAATTTTTGGTTGTATACAATATTATTTAGTTGTGTACAATAAATCTTTTCTTGAAAAACCATTGATATGTACCGTTAAAGTATGAAATCCGTTATTTTATAGAATACCTAGTTATTCCATGAAATAACTGATCGTGTCCGTTAAAGTGTAAAACTCTCTTGTATTTCACGGTTTAACTAGTTATTACATAGAATAACGATCTGCAGCCCGTTAAAGTGTAAAATAATCTATATCATAACCATATATCTCGCACGACAAATACATTTACCTTCCACCCCTACTGCATTTATGAACTATTCAACAAAAAATGTTTTTCTTTTAGAAATAATGTTCTTTGTAATTCCAAGTGTCATTTTAGTAATCCTTGTTGTAACAAATGATTTTCTGGTACGTTTCCATAAATACCATTTATACGCTGCATAAATTAGATAAATTGCTTCTTTTTCATTTTAATTGTCTATCANTTAATCCAGGTAACGGACACGATCAGTTATTTCATGGAATAACTAGGTATTCTATGAAATAACTGCACTATATATACTTTAACGGTAACAGATATACTTCTGGGTTTTATAAAAAAAAAAATTATAGAAAAAGTAAAATTGCCCGATCTTAGCCTACTAGTGGGGTAAAACCGGGAACATATGTTAACTATGAGAAATTTCGAAGTACTAGAATTTCAGAGAAAAAGTAACAAACATTTCTATATTATGACAATTTAAGAAAATTATGCATGTGATGTAATCGATACTATACTCAAGGGGGAGGGGGGAAAAACAATTGTACCTGAGCCGGGATTACTAAGGATAAAACCAAAATTTCTTATAAAAAAATATGGTGTTTATTAAATAGTTTTTTTAAAAAAGTTGCTGAGAATTTCTTTATATATACATAAAAACGACAATTTTGTATAAAGAGGCCTTCTACAAAATTGTTGAAGGCCTCTACACGTTGACTGCACGTTGACTACACGTTGACTGCAGCGTCACCAACAAAGTTTCTGATCGGGCCGCGTCAACCGTATTGGTGGCGCTTGTTTGACTACTTGAGTAAGAATATTCGTATGTACATCGAATTCGCCGCGGTATCGCACATCGAATTCGTTGAAATATAACTCTTTTCTGGTCTATACCTTTCACTTAACTTAAATTTTTTACTTATGTATTTTATTGTAACTGTAATATTTTTGTTTTGTGTACTTGGCAGCTTTAATACATAATTAGTTTGCTTATGTTCTACGTGGCTTCATTTCTATCTTTGCGTTAAGTAAAGAAATATATAGTGAAAG